TATAAAATATTATTTTTAATAAAAAACAATTTTTTTATTATTTAATATTAAATAATACTCTGTTAAAAATGAGCTCAGTATAAAATGTTTTTGTAAGTGATTGCATTTTACAGTAAAAATAAGCATCTGTAATCAATAATCTGGTCTTTATTAATAATTGAATATAAAATGCGCAAAAAATATATATATTAAATAATTTTGCATTTTGGAATTTGTGGTGACTGCAACTTAATGTCCACCTTACATCAAGAATTGTGTCTGAATCTGGCCTCACAGCAATCATGTGACTCAATTTCATGCAAAATAGTTTTCTTGTTAACTTGACATAACAGTAACAAGAATGGCACACATGTGGGTTTTCACAGCAGAGTCACCCGTTTGATCATGCCAGCGTTCCTCTGCACCGTGCACCAGTGTGGTTAGGGATGAGGTTGTTCCAGTAACAGTTGAGCACCTGGTAACCGCTCATGTAAAATACTTTAAAGAAAGAATCAGCATGATTTACATGTGGCTGGAGGCATGAAAATCTAGGGTTTTCAAGAACTAGACCCCTTCAGTGTCTTTGTTTTTCTCACTCTCATTAAACGCTGTCATTATTTTTCCATCTCCCATTGGCTTCATCTGTCTTAATAGTCATATTCTGCAGAATTGCTTTGCATTTTGGAAGATTTTCCCCTATGATAAGTCTGTTGAATGATGAGGTTGGTGATTCACATGACTATTATAATTTCTCACACATGTTGAGTTTACATACATTACATCAGTACGTTATTAGTTTTGCTTTTGAAATTGACATTGAACATCTGATGAAATAGACTAAAATGCAGGGTGTTGTAAAAGGCGACATCTAATTTTGGCTTATAGAGTTTTTAATAAAGTGCAATCGTGTGTGGTTCTCGTAGCAATAAGCCGGTTTGTTATTAATTTCCCAAAGTGAGTCAAACCGAAAAACAGCGTTGGCGTTATTAAATCACACGTGAGCAACTTTTTTTGGTGTCTTTATCTCCGAGTTGCATGCTAACCTGTGGAAGAGATTGAGAGCAAAAAGAGAGGGAGAGTAAGAGAGCGAGATAGGCCCAGCCTCCCGCCCACCCTCTTCACTCCACAAAGCACCCACTCAAATTAGGGTTTCCTGTTTTCCACACTAACCCGTTGGGCCTCAGCCAATCAGACGACTGCACAGGCAGCCAATATTCTGAACAGGCCACGCGACTGTGGTTGCCATGGCATCGGCCCGCTGAGAAAGTGGCATGGCAGGGGGAAGGGCTGAGGTGCTGTGCTGTTAGACTAAAGCCAGACTCTTCATGTGTAATGAATAAGCCGTCTGATGCGATGAGCAGAGATCTTAATCCAAATTCAAAATTAAATACAGTGTGAAAGCTGTTGGGCCTGTGAGGAAGTAGTTTGTAATGAAATAAATTGAATGTATTAGGCTTCTTTGTTGTTACAAATCCACCAGCTTTGGTCCAAAATGCATCTGGAAATGAATGCTATAGGGTGTGTTTATCAACTGAAACTACACTTTTTTTCAGATGCATTGTAGGTACACAGTGAGTAACACCAGACTCAAATGCATTCACACTTTTGAATTCATACGCTCTGCATATCAGGAAACTGCAGTTTTATCACAGTAATGGCCTTGCAGCAGCGTATGGGCTGTGAACTGGATTTTGGTTCCCATTTGGAGCTATGCTGGAGGGTAGACAGCATTCTTCAGTTCCCAAATTCAGCACTGGTTTACATGGCACTCAAGCAGGCAACATATGCTCTCTTAGAGTCCACGGCAAGTAAAAATATCCCCCACTCATGCGGGCCAGGGAAATGGCAGATCGGGAAATGGGTTACTGAATACTGTGTTGCTATTACTCATTGTCTGCGCGTTTGAAGAGACGAGAAGAGAAGAGAAGAAGAGTTTGGTGGAAATACTGATTCAATGAAATATGTGCAATTTTTCTATTGGCCATAAATCTTGAACATATGTTAGTCATATAATGTTGCTGTCAGTTTTATTGGAGATGGGAAATTGGACAGGAGTTCATTAGTGCTGTGAATTTATTAAACTTTAAAAGAAATTGCCAAATCAGTATGGTTAATCACTTTGGTATGCTAATGTAATGGCATTATGAGATCTCAGCAACTCTCAATACGATATCAATAGAAGTATAAATAAAAATACATATTTTATTTATATTACTGAAATGTACCAAAGATGTGAAACAAGATAATTACTGTTCAGGCTAATTCAGTGACATTTTATAGCTAACGACGCATGAAATCTTAAGATTTTCATGTCAAGTTTTCTCTTCCTTCCTTTTTTTCACCCATGTATTTCTCTCTCTTTCTCTCTCCACCCTTGCAGTACGGGTCAAGCAGGAACATAGGGATGATTTGGACTCCCCTGCCGTGCCGCCCATGTCCATGCCTCTTGTCCATGCTGCCAGTTTGGTCTGTGCTCAGCCGCTGTCCTCCCCAGAGCACTCCCACCCACCAGACGGCCTTCTGTCCAGCTCCCCACGTGGCCTGGCTGCAGGCCTGCACCCTCTCCAGGCCCCCTGCGCCCCAATGGGCTCCCCAACTCTTCCCCACCTGCCCCACCTTCAGGCTCAAGGGCTGAATGCACCTCCTGAATGCCAGATGCCCTTCCACCCAGGCCCTGCTGCCACTGCCAGGCCGTCTTACCCACCCATACAGCACAACATGCCCTTCAACGGCCAGCACAGTCTTCCTATGACTACGGGCTCCCCACAGGCATATGAGCGAATACCCTTCCAGGCCGACCCGGCTGGGTGTCACTCCCTGGGTTTGGGGATGGTGTATGGACCGGCTTCTTCGACACCCACCTCTGGAGTGCCTCCGGGGCCTGGCTCTAGCCCTAGCCACGCAGCCTGTACAGGTAGCAACCAGGTCATGGCCCACTCTGCCCCTCACCATCACTCGCTAGGCTACCACTGCCCCGCTCCAGGGCAGGTCCCATCACCCACCCACACATTGGGACAGCCGGCCCCACAGCTCCAGCATCCCCTGGTTTACCATCCGGCCGGGCAGCGGTCTGCCTCCTGTCCCACACCCTCCAGTGCTCCTGTTCATATGGTGCCATCTCCCCACTCTGGGCCCTCGTCCCCCCAACTCCATTCCCTCCCTTACCACTCACCCACCTCCCCGTCTCCTACATCCAACAGCCCCCTGGGGCCCATGGGACTCTCTGGACAGCCTTCTCCACAGGCCTGCAGCCCTGTCCTGGCTGGGTTGTCCCCTGCAGGTCCCTTGGTGCACCCATTGACCCAACAGGGAGAGAGGCTGAACATCAAACAGGAGCCAGAGGATAGAGAGCCCACCTTCCGTACCATCGGTCTACAGGATATTACGCTTGACGATGGTGAGTCTTTGGACTTTGTTAAACAACTTTGTTTTTTTTTTTTGTCTTATGACACTTGAGAGTGACCACTGCAACTTGCAGTTCAGTGTATGGAAAAAAAAAAAATCTTGAGAAATTAGGCCCTTTCGCACCGCTTTAGTTCCAGAACTAAACGTACGGTACTAAAGTACTGGGACGATTTTGCGCAAACTATTTTCCAGTACCATTTAAAGGGTTGCATTCACACCGAGAGTATGTACTAAGAAGTGACGTAAGCTGGTCGACAGCGACGTCATTTGTGCGCGGCGTTCAACAACAGAAACAAAGAACAACATTAACAACAGGAGGATGGAGGATGCTGTGATCGGAGCTGTGTGTTTGTTGTGTCTCGCGGGTTTCACAGTGGACATGGAAAGTCGACGTATACGTAAAGCGATTGAAAGAACGGAAAGGAGGACTAAGAATCTCCAACGACAACTGGCAGTGCTACATTTGCTACAAGTGCCTGCACTTCAGCGTCCGTCCATCGATCGCTGTTCTCCATACTTGCGAAATAAGTTGACATGCTTACAGTATGTTTACACGGCGTTTTAAATCATGGCGGGTGAGGGCGTTTTCATACGCGTTTGGCCAATCAGTGTCTACTTAAGTCACGATTAGTACCAGTTGTGCTGGTTAGACCCTGCTCTGGAGTAGGAGCTAATTTGGTTCTCGAAAAAGGCAGTCCGGTACTAAAATCGCTCCCAGTTCCGGCGGTGCGAACACGCCGAAAAGTGGGTAGTTCCACAATTAGTTCTGGTACTATGAAAAGGTTCCTGCGGTGCGAAAGGCCCTAATGTCCCTCAACAGGACAAAGCAATATTGATACAATTCACCTTTTACATTAAAGGTATTTAAAGCTTCTGGAACTTGTTACTAAAACTTTATTTTAATATAATATACTAAAATCTTAGCATGTAATATAGCATTGACTTTTGACTGGGGAACTCCAGGTTGCATTTGCTTTAGCTATGATGACCAAACCTACATTGCACGAGTCCTTGGTTTTTCCCCTGGTTATGTACTACTCACTGAAATAATTACCTCTTTATTCACTTTATTCATATATGGTCATTTATGGATATTAGAGTAATTTAATCAGTCTACTAGTGTGTGAATAATACATTAAGGGATGAATAAATATGTGTGTGAATGTGTTCAGTACTAACTTAATCATTACTAGGAGAGCAAGAACATTAGAATGTATTAAATAAACAAGCAAATGCTTCATTTACTAAAATGGATTTGCATGCACAAGTTGCCTGGGGCATTACAGTGTTTAGCAGTTCCCAGATCTTAAGAGTGTCGTGACACAGGGCAAATTCATTACACCGGTAATCCTTTTTAGCAGAACTATGAGACCTAATGTCAGTAGTGTGGGGGAGGGAAGCAGAGAGACCGTGTTTGGCATTGCATTGCATTACTGTACCTTATTCCTCTAACTGTTTTTGCATTATGTAATATGCATACTGTTCATAGTATAGCATAATTAGCATAGAATACTCAAATGAACTACTGAATTTGATAGTGTACTGCAAGAATACTCTACTGTATATAGAGCATGCTTCTATAATGCAGTGAGCTCAGTATAACCTTCTATTTTCAGTGTGATGAATGAAGCAGATGTCACATAAACTGCAATTTTAATATACACTACCATGTCAAGAAGCCACTTCTGCTCACCAAGGCTGCATTTATTTGATCAAAATACAGCAAAATATTAATATTTTAAATTAAAAGTTTAATATGCTAATTTGGTGTTTAAGAAGCCTTTCTTGAAAACTGTTGTGGATTTTTGAAGAATAGAAAACTCAAAAGAACAGAATTTATTTTAAACCGTAATCTTTTCTAGCATTATGTCTTTAGTATCAATTTTGATCAATTGAATTCATCCTTGCTGAGTAAAAGTATTAATTACTTTAAATCTTACTGACCACACATTTTTCAATGGTGTATGTTGCCATTTTTATTTTTGTGAAGTTCTCGCCAGTCAAAGAATTACATGCATGTAATGAGGTCATGTGGCAGCATGAACCATACAGTAGCATACTACTAGTTAACATTATTTTTGTCTTTAAAAATATACAGTATTCAGTGTGCACTGTGCAGTATACAGTAAGCACTACACTAGTTATTCTATTCCGAGCATAGCCAGAGCGGGAGAGCTTGTTTCTCAACTTCTGTGTTTATGTGGATATTTTTTGCTGATGGTGTGTTTATGTGAGAAGTTCAGACAACAGACCACAATGGATTCCTTATTCGCAGCTCAGCTATTTATTATTGAAAATTCATATATTTTGTGGGCTGTATTTTGTGCACTTTGAACCTGGTGCATCTATCATAGTAGATTTTTTTTTTTCGTGGATGACTGATGAAAGAGTAATGCTGTAGTTCATCAGCACAGATTTCAGCAATGTCGTCATGTTTTTAAGATACGGATCCTGGACTAGAATGTGATCACGGGGAGTCACTTCTGCTTTCTGCAGTTCTTCAGTTACATATTCAAATGTGCAGTCAGACAGAGTTAATGAACAGCTTGAGTCACTCAAATTAGAAAAGTGCCTGTGTGTGTGTGTGTGTGTGTGTGTGTGTGTGTTTGTAGTGAAGTGTCCATGCAGAATTTGTCTGCGTAATTAAAACTGCCCGCACTATATGTATTGTACACACACACACACACACACACATACACACACAAAATTCTCACTCTTGGCCAGCTGCATACTAATTCACAGATGTGCACAAGCTAATTCAACGTTTCAGATCACACAAGACACATGGTTACACGCATACGTGCTCAATATTTCAGAGTAGGCATGCTCAGCCAGACTAAGTATTCACTGCCTACATGTTGCTCACATATAGCGTCCTCATGAATTCAGTGTGTGAGATGGGATGGAGTTGAGCCTTTTTAAAAGTGAAGTTTTGAACTGATTTCACCAGGGACTGTATCCTCCCTAAAGCACACACTATAAATAGGGTCTGTGTCATTCTGACTGAAGTTCTTGAGCACTGTGAGTTGTTAAGGAGGTCAGAAATGAACTCCAAATAGAACAGAACACAGCTCCAGTCACTGACATAAACCTCCTTTCACGTCAACATACAGCTATCACTACTAGTGAAATGTACGGCATGTTTGCTAAAGCATTGCGATAGGCCTATTTAATGAATAAATAGAAAATTTATAAACACCATTTGGAAAAATAAACTTATGTATTTATACAAAATGATTTACTATTTTGCATATAATGTTATGTATTAATATTATTATTGTTTATTGCATTTGAATGAATACTCTATGGCTATCACTACTATATGTTACTAAAGCATTACGATTTATTACTTTAAAGCATTATTGAATTTATTGAAACCATATAAAAACTATTTAGAAAATTCCAAATAAAATTGAAAAAAAAAAATCTAATGTCACAATAGTAATTTATATATATAAAACATTATTTTTTTCATTCATCCATGGATTGTGATTATTTACAGTATTCCATATAGTAATATAAATCTGTATCTTATTATTATGCTTATTGTTTATTGCATTTAAATAGAAACTTGCTCATTTTTTCTTGCTCTCTCTTCTCTCTCATCTGTTCATAAAAGAGCAATGAATCACTCGTCATGGTTAACTGTAAGAGCTCTGCAGCTGGCTGAGAGTTTCACTAGATTTAAATGTAAGTTGATGTATCAGTCAGACTCTGCAGTTCTTAATCACACTTTCCTGGCACTTTTATGGCCCCAGATACTTCAGTTCCATTTGATGAATCACTTCTCAGTAGAATTCAGTGGTTGTCAGTGGCAGTGCATTCTGGGAGTTGTGTGATTCTGTGTGAATGCAGATGATCGTCAGTGGTGGAAAGAGTACTGAAAAAATATACACAAGCAAAAGTACCATTACCTTCCAAAAAATGTAGTGTGAGTAGAGTTTTGAGTAGTGAGTACTGAGCTGTGGATTCTACCCCCTCATAATAAACGCTGTACACCGCAATTGATACATTTAAAAACGTTGTACATTCTGTAATTCACATTATCTTATTTGTCATAAAGAATGAAGAATATCTATCATCCAGCAGTTTTAATTTTGACTGCCAACTCTTTAAAAATAAATCAAAACAGCACGCAAACAGTATTCAGTTGAAGAAAAGATGAAAGTTATTCTCAGTACAATCATCCCCATTTAAATCATGAAGTTTGAAAGCATCGATTTAAAATCATGTGTAAGGCCATTGAGACAGCATATGCTGTTGTTGCACATAAAATATTAATGTTTAGAACAGTGTAAATACAAACACCATTAGAAACTCATAGTTCAGCGTCACACACCATGATATGGGTTCAAATGAGAGCCCATTTCTCTCCGAAACGGTGCCAGTTTTAGCGTTTTGCAATAAAGAAATAA